ATTTTTCGATGTTTCTTTGAAAAAAGGAGTCTCTGGGTATAACAGATCAATAACCTCCTTATACATGATGTCTAAAGGATCTGTCACACAACAATGTTTTAACAATCTTGTCGAACCTGCTGTACCCCCAAGGCAGAAAACATCCAACAGGGGAACTAACGGAGAAAATCCCTCCGGATGAATGCAATTGAATATCTGAAAAAAGGAGGATCAGAAGGAAGACTAAATTCCAAAATTTCTAAATCTAATGATGGTGATTTATCTGGAAGTAATAGGATCCCATAAAGTCTGTAATTTATGGACCCGCTTATAACAAAAACTTGATCATAGGATGATCAATCCCTGTTTAATATTAACCCCATGTCCTCTCTCCCCCAGGAAAACGGGAAAGGCAGAAGAACACCTCAAGAAGGAAGCAACTTCCGGATCATTGTTTCTAACTATTCAAAACTCCAGTAAGAAGGAATCAGCAAAACAGTATTCCCCCATACAATTCATGTTTTCAGGACTCATTCTCACTCTATAATTACTCAAAAAAGATCATTCTTTAGAAAATCATTGTATTGAGAAACTTTCGACGCGGCAATCTTGTTCCTTTTATGTTTACATTAAACAAAAGTTAAGTAATGGAATGACTAAGTGTTTATCTATTAATGGAGACAGTCTGAAAGGTATCTTTAGTTCTCTTTAAAACCAAAACAGAGGAAGGTTACAAATCTTGCGTCCTATTGTATATTTAGCTAAGCAAATTATTTCTCCCGCCTCAGTAGAATTTTCTAAAAAAGGAAGTAAAGATTACCAATTGAATGACACCAAATCCAAAGCAGGAGTTTCCCCTTTATGTTGACTAAAATCACTGAGTACTCTCAGGCAAGAGGAGGAAATATTGACAAGACGAATTACGTTACTAAACTCCAACCTGGATAAAAACAGTACACCCCAACCCAGCCTTCCTCAACCAAACAGAAAAAGAGCGTCCCCTGATACAAAACTTAGACTGGATCCATAACAACACACCCCAAGCACCAAATCGTCTGGCGGAAGTCGTAAGAATAAGAATATATATAATATTTCTGAACACCAGGCTGAGGATGAATCTGGAAGCCAAACAAGTTGGTTTAAGCCTTTCTTTCAAGAAAGAGTCTCTCTTTAACAGAGAAGGCAAGAAGGGTCAAACCCCCCCCTCTCACTCAAAGATAACGAAACCAGACAGTCACATTTCCAGTCCATAAAGAGAATCCAAAAGGAAAAATCTCTACTCGACTCTCAGAATAGTCTGCTGACCTCAAAAATATAGGGAACCTTCTCAAGAATAAGAGCCAGTAGTATCTCTATAATCCAGGCAGATTATTTTATATATGTGTGAGTCCATCTAAATCATTACAAAATCGTAAGACATGACCAGACGACAGGCAGTAGTGTCATTAAAGCCTCCCAAACTGGCGCCCCTAAGTTGCAGGAGACAGATAAAAACCCCATACTTTACTAAAGGGACCGAAGGAAGGAGAGGGTCCAGAACAACACGCGCAGAGTAATCAGTACAAGTTAACAGAACCAACAAAATCCAGCAACTCAGGAGGATTAATTTCCCCAAGATATAAAAATAAATAGAAATAATTGTTTTATTTTATCTCGTCTTGTAACCGAAAAAGTTTTCAACCAATAAATCCCTCAAGACACCCCCAAAAAAAGGAATGAACTAAATCCAATCATATCTCTCCACTCCCAAATCTTAGAACTAAGGCTGACCCAAGAAAATCCCAAGCCAATTGTCTTCCAAATTATTATTTAAGAATAATAAATAACAGTCACATGATTTCTCATGACCGAAGTTGAAAATACCTCCAACCTCAGGCAGCCGATAAACCACCAAATCAGGCCTTAAAACCTCAATCCCACAGCACAATCGTACCATAACAATCTGGGCCCCCCATGAACGACCAAGAGTCTCCAATAAATAATAAAATCCTCAAGTAAAAAATATATCCGAGAAAGGGACGGAGGACAAATTAGCCCCACCATTTCTAAAACAGACAGTCAGCGGCTCCCCCGGCACCCACTTAAGAGAAAGTGAGGCCAAACCACAACAGCCGACATACCACCCGAAGAGAACCACTCTAGGTCATTATATAGAGAATCAACAATATAAAAAATATAGACGCAACCTCTGAATAGCTAAAGAGGAAGACATAATCCAATCTTCCCCAGACTCAGAGCCAGGGAAAATCACCAAAAGAACCATATCTCAATTAATCAGGTATCAAAATCCTTAGGACAAGTAGCATTTTAATTACCGAAACAGGTCTACAAATCCCAGAAACCATCTATATTTACCGACACCCAGAAGAATCACAAAGGGGCTTCAGGGATTAAAGACAACATGCAGTTCAGATCAAAGTTTACCTCCCAAGGAGCCCAGAAACTCCAGATCCCCCCAAGGCCACTCCCTAGTCGTTCCCCTGGGAGAAATATTCTCACCCTGTGACGCCTGAGTAAGGAGACAAACAAGTCAAACAACTATCCAGAAGCCAACCCAAGAGACATTCAGGACAGAAAGCTCCCCAGAGATAAATTATCTCAACAACTCATAGACGTAGAGGATGACAAATTATCCAGAGTATTTATAAATCCGTAAAACAAACAGAGAAGAAAGGAGCTTCCAGCGACCGATAAAAATTAGGAAAATAGTAGCGTCAGAAATCCCTATACCCCCATTAGTCAGCAAAGAACTAAATAACCCCAGACAGCAAAAGCACCCAAGCAAACTCAAAAAAACAACTAAAATATTCCTCGAGTCCTAACCCAATTCCAACCAAGTCTCACGTCAATCCATAACTCCTGAAGAGGCAAGGAGCATTAGAGAAGTAGAAATTATTCAGAAGTGAAATTAAGTCTGAATTCTGACTAGCCGATACAATCCGAGACATATAGATATCCAGCAAGGCTTTAACTTAAGAGAAAAACCTCCTCTTCCCGAATAGACCAGGGAGAACAACTCCAAACTGCCTTCTCAGAAATTTCCCCGCCCAGCAGCCTCCCCCCGTTCTCCAAAGGGAAGTCTCCAGGAAAAATACCGGAACACGAACTTCCAGACCGGAAAAAATATGCGGGGATTAACCCCCCAGGGAGACCAACTCCAGAATCCACACACGCCTAATGCAAAATCGCCTAAATCAGGAACTACTCCAACACAAAAAGAAACCACAGTAGGATCGAAACCTGGACCGTCAGTGCCCAAGAGTCAAGCGCCTAAGCCTCGCCAAATCTCTTGACCAAAGAGTCCGAAGTATACAGATAAACAACAGAACATCAAGATATTTTGACGTATTCTCGATAAATAATAAGGCGGACCCCGAACCAAGACCAAGAGTTAACTCAGAGCCGAAGAATATCCAGACCAAATCGTCACAAGAAAAGCTAATATTCAGGGTAATAAATTAGGGCTCACCATCGATTAAATAAAAAAAAAACTCTAGCACAGGACCCACAACATCCACTACTAAGGAGCCAAAAAAACTCACATCTGAGTCCAACCATTCCCCCCCCGTTCAAAGGAAGGCTGGAATACATCAGGGACCGAAAATGACCAAAAAACAGGGAGGACAAGAATACTAAATAGAATGAAATCACTCAAGTAGGCAAGGAGAGGGGGAAAAAAAGCAACAGGAGTCCAATTTCCACCATAGCCGAGCAGGAGCATGATGAAAACAGTCAAGAGGACCCTCAACGGGAATTGAAGTTCAGTACTACCCCAGAGTAGATAACAGGTCCCAAAACACAAGTGAATAATAGAGGTGGCCAAATCACCTTCCCGACCAACTCCCGCGGGAGCCTAAAGGCAGATCCAAGGACGAGTATAATCCACAAATATAGAAAGAGAAGAATCCACCGAGTTTAGAACAATAAAGCTTCAAGCTAGACAACCCCAAAGTGAACAAGTCAGAAACTAGCTTATTCAGGAATCACGGAACCGTGAAGGGATTCGAAGGAACAGGAAACGGAAAAAATCCCAGACAGTAGGAGATAAAACAGGCCTGAAGGACTACATATGAAGGGAACGCGAATGGAAGCAGACACCAATCACAACAACAACTAACCAGAGAGATGAGGGCAGATACAGATAGACCATAAGAAATTTAAGATGACCAGGGATTCGCCTAATAACGAATCCATCAGAGAAGTAACGGAGAGTTACTAGAACCACAAATAGAAGCAAGAGAGAAAAGTCACAGGACGTAGGACGAGAAAAAGCAGCAGAGGACGGGGCAGAGATAGTCGAGGCCAAGGGAGCAACTCTAGGAGAAATAAGGGAACCACTCCTTCCTCGGACGAATAAACAGACGCGAGGCAGCTAATGACAAAGAAAGTCGGAAGGGAACAAAGAAGGTGGAATAAGGAGATCGTCGTATAATATAGGGCGAAACGTCTAAAGACATAGAAGGAAGAATCTCTGGTCCTAAGAGCAAAAAGACAGCCACAAACCTAGGAAATGTGCAAAGGATCGATCGTAGATCACGCCAGGGAGAATAGCAGGAAATCAGAAAAAATATTCTCCAAAGGAGGCTGACAATCCAATCCACCCAGACTCTGAAGCAGGAGACCAGGAAATAGCCTCCAGGAACTTCAAGCAAATATTCCCAAGCCTTATAAAGAGGACGAAGTGGACCGTGATAATTTCTAGAGTTCAGGTCAAAGGAAACCTGCGTCAAATAGGCCCAAAAAAAATAGGAAGTCGGAGACAGTCATTGGTCGAACAGACGAATAGAGAACTCGGCCAGAAGACAATACAACAGCTTCCGGTTCCGAACAGTCGGAGCGGACATAAACTGAAGGGGAAGACCGAGGCACCCAAGGAATGAGGGGGTAAGGGGAAATCAGGACCTCAGACTAGAAGGAGATAGTCCCCAAGGAGTAAAGGATAGAATGGTTAAGAGCTAGTCTCACTCAAATTTTCCAGGGCCGAAGAACGTCAACGGAAGTGTAGGAACAGCAGAAGTATCCGATTCCCCACTCTGTATTTACCACCCGTTCAATCCCGACAGGAGTTTAACTCAAAGGGGGGAAGGTAGGAAAGGAGTGGGCTAACAGAGAAAACCCCAGCTGAGAGCACGTAGGAACCGACCAGTCAAGGGAAATCTCTTATCAACACAGCCGAAGAGGAGGTACCACGAGGTAATCGAAAAACACCAACCGAGGGACAGGGGCAGGTAAGAAGTCCGGAGGGAAAGAGAAACCGTAGAGAACAGGGTGGCGTCGAGGGGAAATCAACGATGAAGGATAGAAGTTACAGGAGAAGGAAGAGGGGGGGGGGAATGGGGAGGATGAGGGTCCCAGGGACGGACTAGGGGAATTAGACCCCAAGACATCGAGCAGGAGATCGAGGAGGAGCTTCCGTTTATGACTCAAGGATCCAACTAAAGCGTTCCAAATGGGATCGGGGGGGAAATCCCGCGACAAGGAAAGCTGAAAGCAGGAGGATGACCGAACTCTAGGTCCCTTAGCCAGGAACAGATCTAAGGTAAGTGTGATAATTCAGGGAAGTCAGATTCTCAACTATGGTCTCAAAATCTACTTGAAAGGACCCAAGGGATAAATCAGGGAGGACGAAACCGAGGGGAAGTCAGGGGAGTTCGAAGTAAACAGGGGGAGGGAAGAGAGAGAATCATCGAAACGGCCCCCACCAACCCCAACACACCCCTGGGTGAGAGAAGAACCCACAGGGATGAATAAACGGGGAGAACACGTGACCGATCGGGGGAGTAGCAGGGCCTAAGACATGAATGAGTATGGAGGAGCAAACCGTAGAATAGGGGTCCATAGGCAGCCCCATGCGAAGTGCCAACTCTCGTTAAGCTGAGGGAAGAGACAAGGGTCTAAAAATCGATAAGATAGGATCTGAAAAGACAGGCTTGCTGATATGACTTCGTCTATCCAATAGATAGAGAGAGACGAAAGGGGAGAGAATAAGCAACAGACGCAAGAATCTCAGTCGAAATCATAATCGAAGGAGGACGAATCCCCAGTAGGCGTGAGGACCCTCGGGCCGTAAACCAGATTAAGAAAGATGTTAGAGTGGAAAGGGGAATCGAGAGAAAGGGTCCATTCAGGCAACTGCACCCCTGAGTCCCAGGGGAAATTCTGTTTTTTCGTCCCTCGAGACGGAAGACCCAACAGAGACCGCCCGGCCCAAGGACTACAGACATGGATGGAGACTTTACAGAGTCAAGGAGGGAAGTTCCTATTAAAGGAGACGGGAACCCAACTGAAGGGACTAAAACGTAAAGACAAGGGAGGGATAGTGACGTGGGGGGCTCTGGTGGATGAGGTAATAAATTGGTGTCTTAGCAGAGCAAGCAATAAAGTAAACAATGGAAAGGAGGATAAGTACTTATCACCAACCGAGACGAGATTATGGCATGCAGTCATAGGAAGAGACGCGTATACGGAATGTAACAGTAATGGATCTTGTCAGAAAATGTTAGGTTTGGTTGCATGTATCATCTCATGGATATGGGGAGACGACAACCGACTAAAGGGAAATATCGAGCATCTGAAGAGCAAATGTGATAGTCTAAAACCGAAGTTTCTAAAGTCAAAGTATAGCCTCGAGAGGGAAGGACCAGGGAGAATCAGAACTCACTCTCACCAACAGAGTCAATGTGGAGCGGGGAACAGTTTCGACAAATGTCCTAGCGAAGCCCTGAGTCTCGTAATAAGTGTCAGTATGGCACTGAAGGACCTTTGTCCAGAATGTCCCACCACGGGTTTAGACGAGATTTTAGGGACAATGCTGAGACTCGAACCCACGGAGGGCCTCTTTTGTCAAGCTAGCAGGAGAACGGACCCGTCCTGTGCCATAAAACCATGCAGCCCGACATGTGAGGGGAGTCTATATCATCAGATGGAGGAGGAGATGACCGTGCGTGAAAAGATCCCCCAGATCCACCACAAAGCGGAACCAACCGAAACAGCGGGTGGCTCGGCCCCGCTCGGTCGACTGAAGGAGCAGGAGGCGGAGAAAAATCAGATGTCAGGAGATCAGCACCGGGCAGCTAAGGAACAAAACAGCTCAGGAGCAGAGGACCAAGGAGGAAAGGTCAGCAACCGGACCAGACACAACGGAGATCAGCAACTCGTTCGTGCAGGGCCAGGCCTCCAGCGACAGGGAACCACCGCCTCTATAGCCGCCGGAACAACACAGCCGGAACTAGCATCGGCAGCAGTCAGGGTAGAACAAGGAATAACCAGGGAAGGAGACCCCGCCCCCCCTGCGGCCAGGCCGAACACGGAGGGTCAGAGTGAGTTAGAGGTTCAACCAGCAGGAGCCTCCAATTCATCTTCAAGGGGGGATAACGGAGCAGGGAACATACAAGACATAGGAGCAGCAGTGGGGGGTGTGGCCGTAGCAGTAATGTTGGTTGCTTCGGCCTATGGTTATTATCGTATTTATATAAAAGGGACTCATAAGAGGCCGAGGGTATTGAGTCTGAGGGATAAGGTTGGGATAAGGTATGAACCAAAGGAACTCAACTAAGCCGATGATCATAGGCAGGCTCCAGGAGCAGAAGATCCAGGGAAAAGAAGGCAGATACAGCGAGACTCCGAGGTGGGCCGGATATGATGTTCCTACACCCCTCGTCCACAGAGATGACGCAACTTCTGAAGCCAGTCCCGAAAGAAACGACCAGTCAAGAGAAGGTGAGTTACAGGAGGATTAGGAGTAGTCGGAGGATCCAAACAGGGCAAGGGGGGGAGGTGGGGGGCCCCAGCGCTCAATCCAGAATAACGTCTGAGAGATAGACAGACCCTACGTTAGTCACCAGGCAGAACCGAGAAGTAACAAGCATCCCGAAACTAAGACAACCCGCAGCTGGGTCAGGGGGATAGGGCAAGGAAGGCGTACCGTGAACGAATCTCGTATGACTGGGGAAGGAGGAAAGGACAAGCAGCAGAAACTCCATTCAAACCGTAAAGGTCAGACGAAATCCTTCCGTCGCCAGGCAGAGGAATCATGGAAGAGAAAATGAGTAGGATGACGTTAGGGGGGGAAGAGGTGTGTTTAAAGGAGTGTCTTAGTTACAGATCAGAACCAAAGAGCAAGGAGCCAGCACGGTTACGCGGATAAGGGGGCGGCTTAAGAAGATAAAACAGGTAAGCAGTCTGAGAGGGGATCAAGGGACGAGGAGCTCCGGGGCGCGTGCAAGGGGGGCAGAAAGAAGGAACAGGATAATGGACCATGTAACGACGAAGGAACTCGTAGCATTCATAAGATAGAGGTGGGACGTTAGAGTTAAGTGAATTTTGCTTTTGTGTTTCGAAAGGGCCACTGGACCATATCGTCAGGGGGTTTGGGGGTTAGAATTCGGGGTTTAGGTTTAGGATGTGGTTTAGGGTTCAGGGTTTAGGGTTTAGGTTTCAGGACTTAGGGTTCAGGGTTTATGGTTTAGGGGTTCAGGTTTCTTCGTTCAGGGTTTAGGGTTTAGGGTTATGGTTTAGGGTTTAGGGTTCAGGACTTAGGGTTCAGGGTTCAGGTTCTGGTTTAGGGTGTAGGGTTCAGGCTTCAGGGTTTAGGATTCAGGGTTTAGGGTTTATTTTCTAGGATCCAGGGCTCAGGTGGGAGGACTTATGGTCATGGCTGATCTGTCAGGGGCTATTTCTTACTGTCTAGGTTTTACTTTTAGGATTTACTTGTTAGACCCCGTTTTCAAGGTTCAGGGGTCACGGTTCTCAGTCCTTTTATCATGGATCAGGGTTTGATCTAAAGGTTGATGGCTTAGGGTCTAGGGTTTATTCTTATGGTTTACTCTTCTTGAGTTACGGTTTGTTCTCGATGATTCAGTGTTCAGGGCGCTCTGGCTGGATTTCATGTCCTAGTCTGTCATGATTAGTCGATTAGATTCCAGGATTTCTCGGATTATGTGGTGGCTCTAGGGCCTAGGGTCTAGAGGCTAGTGGTTGGTCCTTAGCATTTAGTTTTTTGTAGCTTCTTCTTCAGCGTGGAGTTCCCTTTCTTCTGTTCAGGCTTGGAGAAGATGTTTGGCCCTTTACTGGTCAGGAGGGTCTCTCTGTTTTTCGCTTCTACCGGGCTGTGCTCAAGCCTAGTTGGATTTTTCATGGTGTAGGTCCTACGGGGGAAATGCCCACATTTCATAGCCCACTCTCTATTGTGGAGGGTTACTTCGTTTGGGTTGTGGGGGAGTTTTATGCAGTGGGTGGTTCATGTTTACGGATTAGGATTGTATGATCCAGTACCTCGAGTTTTCGGAGCTTAGTTGACAATTCTTATCCTTCTGGTTGTTCTCTGGCACAAGGTTCCTGGATCATGATTTACGGAGATGTGATTTTGTCTCCTGCTTTGCCTCTAGGTTTTATCTTTTATTTTGCAGTTGTCTGGAATTGACGTGTATTGATCACGGTTTATGGTGTACATGTTATAGATTCTGGGGTAGCTGCTCCTTGATAACTCCGGTCTGATTGTCTGTTCTGTTTACGTGCTTTGGCCTATCCCTCATGACACAGCTTCGTTGATTCGGGGTTTACTTCTCAGATGATAGGTTGTTTTGGGGGGGCCTTATGATGTGGGTCCCCGTGATTACCGGTCATGAGCTTGTTCTAGTGTGGTATCTGATTATTGGGGGGGGCCAGTTGGTCTTTTCTTATTGTCTCGGGGTCAGGAGGGGCCACAGGTCTGTCTTGTTTATCTTTGATGCGTAGGTTCTAGTGCTCACTACTGAGTCTGTTCAGTTTTCTACTCTTTGAGCTAGTTTTGAGATTCTTTCCTTCCCTTTTTCTCTTTCCTGGCACCTATCCTTCCTCTGATTTTTCATCCGCACTGTCGATAGGTCTAGTATATTGCAAGGGGATTTCCTTTGTGCTTGGGGATTATATTGTTGCTTCTATTTTGTCATTTCTCTAGCAAGGTCGGTTCCGGCTTCAGTAATTCCTTTTATCCAGCTGAGTTCATACTTTTAGCCCTTATTTTTTATTTTTCACGCTCCAGGTGCCTTTGTATAAGTCCTTTC